CCCTTCCCCTTTTCTCTCTCCCTTCCCTTTCCTTGCCTCCCCTCCCCTCCCCTTGCCCTCCTCTTCTAGTCTCCTCCCCTCCCCTGTCCATCTTCTCTATCTCTCTCTCTTTCTTGATTTTTTGAGACAGGGTCTCTGTAGTTGAGTCTGACCTGGAACTCACTATGTAGCCCAGGCTGGTCTCGAACTCACAGCGATCCTCCTGCCTCAACCTCCCAAGTGCTGGGATTACAGGTGTGCACACAACGCCCAGCTCTTCCTTCTTCCTTCCTTCCTTCCTTCCTTCCTTCTCTTTCTGCTGTTGAGTTCTTTCTTATCTTGGTTTGTTAGCTGGGTAATGGCTGACTTCAAGGAATGATTTTGGCAGTGCTTCTTCCCTATCAGTTTTATGAAAGAGTTGAGAAATATTGAAATTAGTTCTTTCCTGAAATCCCACCCACGGGCTTCTGGGCTCTTATTAGGTGGTAATATTTTTATAGCTGCTTGAATTTCAATATCTGTTGATCTATTCTGCATTATGATTTTGATAAGTCATGTGTCTGAGAATATTCATTTATTCTAGATTCCCAAATTTACCAAAATATAAGGTTTTTAATGTTTCTTATAATCCTCTGGATTTTTATCAGTGTCATGATGATTTTGCCTTTTTCGTTTCTTTTTTTTCCCATTTATTAGTATACAGTTGCAGTACATGGTTATATTCATCATGGTGGGAGTTATACATGCATACAATGCACTTAAATTCTTTTTTTATTCCCTTTCCCTTCTCTCCCTGCTCCTTTTCCCCATCTCTTGATCTTCTCCCATTTTGAAAAAGTTCTACCTCCCTGTTACCTAATAACTGTCTTTATTTTGATCTTTAATATATTTATACTTTGAGTTTCTCCTAGGTCTTTTATTTCCTTCTTTTGATAAATTTGGCTAAGGGTTAATTGATCTTATTTATCTGCTTGAAGAACCAGCTGTTTAATTCAATGATTCCTTATAATTTTTTAGTCTCAAGTCCATTGATTTCTACTGTGATCTTTATGATTTCTTTCTTTCTATAGCTTTTTAATTCATTTTGTTTTTCTAGTGTATTAAGATGCATTATTATTTCATTTATTTGGAAATTGCTCTGGTTTTCTAACATAAGCATTCAGAACACTGAACTTTCCTCTTGGAACTCACAGGTTTGGTATGTTGTACTGCCATGGTTATTTGAGTCTAGGAACTTTACAATTTGCTTCTTGATTTCTTCTATGATTGATTGATTATTGATCAATCTATGATTTAATCCCCATGTATTTACATAGTTTCTATGGATTTGTTTGGTGTTTCTTTGTTTTGTTATGGATTTCTATTTTCATTCTAATGAGAACTGATAATATGCCAAAGATTATTTCAATTTTTTGTATTTATGACCTAAAACATAGTCTATTTTGGAGAAAGTTCTGTGAGTGTCTGAGAAGAATGTATATTCTGCTATTGTTGGATGAAATACTCTGCAGATGTGTTAGGACCTTTTGTTCAATGATATGTTTCCACTCTGATATTTCTTTGTTGAGGTTTTGCTTGGTTGATCTATTTGTGAAAATGGGGTATTAACATACCTATCTATGACTGTGTTGCTATCTATCTGTGATTTTATGTCAGGTTTTTGTTTTATGACATTGAGTGCATCCACATTCAGTCTACATTTAGTTAAAATTGTTTTTACTTCCTGTTGAACTGGTCCCTTTACCAATATGTAGTGACTTTCT